TTACAAATTTCAGTCTTTATTTTAATAGCACCAAATAACCATTAACTACTTATTTTCTGCATTTAAGCTCTCTGTCACAATTTTACAATTAACATATGTTCTTCTTCTCACTTTTAATTTCTGACAACAGCTGGAGTTTCATAACAATATTTGTTTCCCTTGTTAATCTTATGGAGAAATATGAAACTTTAAAGGGCCCCAGGGCCTCACTCTCTAATTATTTCCCTAAAAAGAAAGTTTCCTGCACAACTTCAAGTTACGCTCTTTCCAATGACACCAAAAACATGTCAATCGGTTCAGTAGTTTCGGAGGAGTAATTGTCACAAAAAACCTGCTTGCGTATTAAATAAGTATACTAGCGAACCTGTGCGGCTCAATGCCCCGCAAAATAACATTTGAATTTAGAAAACAAATTCATCGTATTATATATTGACGTCGAAAATTAAATACAGTAATAATGAAGCCTTGGAAGGGAAGCAGTCCATCCATTTCCTAGCTGTATGTGTATTATATCAAGGCCACACTAAAAAAATAGTTTTTTTTAGTGTGGCCTTGATTATATTTAGTTAATTAATAAGTGTTCAAGTTCAAGTATGTTATAGGCAGCGAGCAAGGTTGTAGGGTAGTTATTTTTTAAAGATTTTTAAAACACATTTAACAAAACGTTTTACCATATCAAACCAATAGGCCTATGTAGCATATTTTGAGAGTCATAAAAATGCTGCTTGAAGAAAACACACTTTTAAAAATAAACACTAAAAAAACAATATTTTTATCACAAAAGCACTTCCATGAATACTACGATTTTAGCCTTAAAGTTACCTTCAGGAAGATTGCCCTGGTCAGAGTTTTCCGTAACGAATATGCGTGTCCTATTAAAAGATGTAGCCTTAACTAGGTGGCGTTCGCCGAGGCATCCACAAAATTGAGCGGAGTCATCAAGGGTTCATATTATATTGTTTTTGTCATACTGCAGTAAAAACAGTCGTTTTTAAATAATTTTTAAGCTTTAAAATTTTAATTTTAAATTTTTTAATTTTTTTGCATTGCGGCTCTAAAGTATCATTTTTACTCTTTAGTGAGGAAAAATCGTTTTTAGCCTCTATGGAGTAAAAATCAGCTGTTGTCAAATCAGTTGTAAATATCTATTGAAAGTGATTGCATGTATCGAAATATGTATCGATTCGTGCTTCGTAATCATTTTAACCTACAGTCTACAGTCTCTTCCCATAGCATTTTAGCATTGCAGATACATTAATCCATTCCCACACCCAACACTGCTCACCTTTACAAATTCCTTCACCACCCCCTACGTCGTGGACCTGTTTCCCTCTCTTCCCATAGCGTTTTAGGATTGCAGATACATTAATGTAATTGCCAAAGACAGTTCCCACACTCTGCACTGCAAGCCTTACTAAATTAGCTTTTTGTTTTATGTTGCCTTGAAGTTCTTGATGTTATTAAATTCCTGATGTGCATTTCGCCACAAGAACTTCAACGCAACATAAAAACAAAAATGTAATTTATTAAAAATGTTCTTGAAACTGGGTTATATTACAAATTAAGCCTTAATACTTCCTTCACCATTTCCTACGTCATAGACCTGTTTCCTTCCCTTCTCATAGAATTTAAGAATTATATACATTTTTATCTAGATGCCCAAACGGTTCCCCCACTCTGCACTGCCAGCCTTTACTACTTCCTTAACCACTTCCTACGTCGTGGGGCCTGTTTCCTTCCCTTCTCATAGCATTTTAGGATTGAAGATACATTATTCTAACTGCCACAGACGGTTGTCACACTATACTCATACTTTACAACTTTCTAAGCCACTTCCTACATCGTGGACCCGCTTTCATCACTTTCCATAGCATTTTAGTATTTTAGATACGTAAATCTAATTGCCAAAAACATTGCCCACACTCCTCACTGCTAGCCTTTACTACTTCTTTCGCCATTTTCTATGTCGTGGTCATGCTGCCATCCCATCTCATAGCATTTCAGCATTGCAGATACATTAATCGAACTGCCACAAACGGTTTCCAGTTCCCGCACTCCACACTGCTCACCTTACTACTTCCTTCACCTCTTCTTACGTCGCGGACCTGCTTCCCTCTCTTCCCATAGAATTTTAAGATTGTAGATACCTTAATCTAATCGTCATAAACAGTTCCCAGACTCCAGACAGCTCGCCTTGACTACTTCCTTTACTACTTCCTACGTCTCAGACCTGTTTCCCTCCCTTCCTTTAGCATTATTGGATTGCAAATACCTTAATCTACTGGTCATAAACGAAAACCACACTCCTTACAGCTCGCCTTTACTACTTCCTTCACCACTTCCAACGTCACGGACCTGTTTCCCTCCCTTTCATTGGCATTTTAGGATTGCAGATACCTTAATCTAATCGTCATAAACTGTTCCCACACTCCGAACAACTCGCCTTTACTACTTCCTTCTCCACTTCCTACGTCACTGACCTGTTTCCCTCCATTTCCATAGCATTATTGGATTGCAAATACCCTAATCTATTGGTCATAAACAGTTTCCACACTCCGGACAGGTCGCTTTGACTACTTCCTTCACCACTTCCTACGTCACCGACCTGTTTCCCTCCCTTTCCAATAGCATTTTTGGATTGTAGATACCTTAATCTAATCGTCATAAACAGTTTCCACACTCCGGACAGGTCGCTTTGACTACTTTCTTCACTACTTCCTACGTCGCGGACCTGTTTTCCTCCCTTCCAACAAAATTTTAGGATTGCAAATACCTTAATCTTATGGCCATAAACATATCCCATACCCCGAACAGCTCGCCTTTACTACTTCCTTCACCACTTCCTCCGTCGTACCTGTTTGCTTCCCTTCCAATAGCATTTTAGGATTGCAGATACCTTAATCTAATAGTCATAAACAGTTCCCACACTCCGGACAGCTCGCCTTGACTACTTCCTTCACCACTTCCTACGTCACCGACCTGTTTTCCTCCCTCCCCATAGAATTTTAGGAATGCAGATACCTTAATCTAATCGTCATAAAGAGTTTCCACACTCCGGACAGCTCGCCTTGACTACTTCCTTCACCACTTTCTACGTCGCGTACCTGTTTCCTTCCCTTCCAATAGCATTTTAGGATTGCAGATACCTTAATCTAATAGTCATAAACAGTTCCCACACTCCGGACAGCTTGCCTTGACTACTTCCTTCACCACTTCTTACGTCGCGGACCCGTTTTCCTCCCTTCCCAAAGAATTTTAGGAATGCAGATACCTAAAACTAATCGTCATAAACAGTTTCCACACTCCAGACTGCTCACCTTTACTACTTCCTTCGCCACTTCCTACGTCACTGACCTCAAGCTAGTGTCGTCATTTGATTATATTTTTAATCCATACCGTTTCTGTTCTAATATCTGTGGAATAATCCTAACAGCTATTTCTTTATCTACTGCATTTAAAAGTCAACAGCTGATCATAGGCCTATGTCTTTGTTTATGTGTCAAATACTGCTTCCATCAGGATTACATTGAAACTTTGAGACCCAGTGGGGCGGATTCCTGTGAGACTTTTTTAACGCCATATAGATGTTGGCACTCACCGTAAAAAAACGCTCAAAGTGTCGTTAAACCGGTAGTTCGCCACTACCGTCCCAGGTCCAGGTTTTACTACGGTAATAGCTTATTCTATGTATGGGAAATTCGCTAAAACACAGCAATTTTGAAACAGGATCATATTTTTTAATGATTATTTTTCCTTAAATACATTATGACTTATTAAAACTGTATACCAAGTTTCATAAAGATATCTTAAATAGTTTTCGAGAAATATCTCATTAAAAGCGCGTTCATTCAAATTTAAATAGAATCCCACGGCGCCACTCGAGGAGGAAACGCTTCGCGTCTTCCGCTACAGTGGCGCGGCAATACAGCCGCATCATGAAACAGCGCCTAGCGCAGATCCAGCTGACCGTCTGCATTAAAGTACTGTATTATATTGTCTGTGATTTAAGCATTGCAGATACGTTAATCCAACTGCCACAAACGGTTCCCACACACCGCACTGCTTGCCTTTACGACTTCCTCTACCACTTCCAGCGTCGTGGACCTGTTTCCCTCCCTTCCCATATCATTTAAGTATTGCAGGCGAATACATTAATCTAACTGCCACAGAAAATTCCTTCTTTGAACGACTCCGTAAAATAGTTAATATAGTAAATTAGAAATCATCTGTCTAGTGGTTGAAAACTCGCAAAAAAATATGTAATGTACAGACGATCGATAGACTTCTCCATTTTCCCCCCACACTCTAAATAAAACATGTGATTGAAATTTGTTTAAATTTTCTGTTTAGTTATTTTGTCACCAGCATAACAACCCATAAGACCCATGCTATTTTTTTTAAATTTCAAATTCATTTTTCGTGCTTATTGTTGAGCCTATTTTAATTTATAAAGGGATTCTGCACATCTACAGGAAAATATCTTGCATTTAGTACCAACCGCGCGTAATTCGGTCAAGTAGTATGGCCAGGCTAGCTGTCGTAAGTTTTGCAAAGGTTTTTTTAGTACATGAGATTTATTTTTTCGGATCAGCTGCCTGAAATTGTGAAATAAGCAATTTGGCAGTTCTTGTTTACATTGAAATACAAATTTAAACATTTAATGTTCTCATAGCAGCCATGGAGACCAATCAATATTTACTTTTGAAATCCTCACCTCAGAACTTTTAAAACTAAAGGGGCAAAGCCCACGGTCAGTACCGAAGTGTGGATAGTCCTATGACCATCCTTGGTATGGTAACTATATTTTTGTAAAATTTGAGCCCAGTCGATTCAGTAGTTTATGCGCCTATTAGCAATAAACATACAGACAGACACCATTAAATTTTTATATAATAGTATAGATTATATGGTACTTAAAATAAAAAAAACTCCTTGTTCGAATATGTACATACACTCATGCATATCCAAATCCTGCTATTAAATATTTGTATTGTTTACAGAAAAAAACATACATTTGGATGACCAAGTCAGAGATGGTGTAAGAAAACACAACTCACTAATAAATTATAGTAAGGAGAATGAAAGCACGTTCTTGATGACTTGCTTTAAGATTGCTGATGGTAAATTTACTACACGTGTACAAAAAGTGGATGGAACGCACGTTGTTTCGATAACCTCTATTGACTGCTCGTCACCCGAAACGTTCAATGAATACAATCTGTCTGAGAAAACAAAAAGGATGTATACTTATGTTCAGAAAAATGGTGGGAAAACATATTTCACTTTCATAACTCAAGACGAAAAATTTACTCAAACGGAAAATTGGTGCCGTTATGACGTTTGTGTTGAGTGTCAAAGTAAAGAGATTATTAGCATGGTAGACACCAAATCTGCCTATTATGGCGGGAGGATGAAGTGGCAGGTAAGTTTTTTATTTATAAATAACTTGTCCATTAGGCTATAATTGTCCATTATAGCAAGCAAATAATGTTTACTCCTTTTCTCGACAAAACATTACGCTTTTGTTTTTATACATCAGAAGGTATCCAACATAACACCTGTATTAGTGAATAAACTCATCGCCTACTCTTTGGAGGGTATTCTGAAAAAGGTCAGCGGTTTATTTATGGTTACTCTGATCTGGTTTACGGCGGAAAATTGTTTTCTTTTTTTTACAAAAAAATAAAAATCTGTACTTTAATTATTTTTACAGTTATCCATCACCTTTTGACACACACAGATTGGTGGGCACCGTATGGATTTGAATCTAATCTAAACCAGCTTTAAGTATCCCAGCCTGTACTGTAGTAATTCATCAGTAATTTTTTTTTTTTTTTTACTGAATGAAACATACAATTTTATTTGTGACCTTTTCAACAGTAAAGTTGACCTTAGAGGATATTAGATTAATACAAATTCTTTGAACCCAGTCCTGTTTTAAGGTCAGGTTTTTTATAAGGAGAATTCATTGAAAGTCGACCCGGGTTCAGTTCAAAACCACTCAATCTGATGAAAAAAATACCCCAGCCGCAGGAAACCTGCAGACTAAGCGAATTTCCATTTACCTGGCTGGACTTTTACTAAAATAAGAGTATTCCATTAAAATTGTCATATTCATTTCTTATATAAATGACATTGATTGTTAATGAGTTTGCTGCTACAAAGAAGGTTTTAAAGGTGTAATTTTTATTGATATGTTGATAGCTTAGTAATAAATAAACAGAACTTCTAAATTTGATTAAAATATATCCATAAACAAGCAAACTACAACAGTTTGGTTATTCTCGATAAGAATATCTTGGGGATTTTTAAATTATCTCCGTAACCGATAGGCATACAACAACGTTTCAATATACAAAATTATTTCTTTTTAAGTTCTACAAAATGGTTTGGAAATAAATTGTGAAATTGTATGTTTTTAGAGACAAAAATGGGGAAAACCAATTTTCCCCCATAAATCCCAAAAGGCCCTGTCCAATCGCAAACCCGTTCGAATAAACGTAGGTGTTCACGTTTGTACTACATTTTATCATAATCGGATCATTCTTGCTCGAGTTGTCGCAATAACGGACATATGTTTAATGTTTGTTTGTTTATGTTTGTTTGATAAGCGAGGATCATTTCTTATAAAAATACGGACGTGATTATACAAGTTTCTTAACTTAATAAATTAATTGTTTTACAGAATGGAATAGACGTGTCCTTGGACCCCAAAACTGGTAAGTTTTGCAAGCACGTACTATAAATACTGATCTTTATTTACCGTATTATAAGATATATGAATTGAGATACTCGATCTAATAGTGTAACTATTTTTATCACTAGGGCGTAAAGTGACTCTTTTCGACCCGACCTCAAGTTTAACGATCGAGGCGAAGCGGAAGTCGGAAAATGAGGTTTGAAAAGACACTTTTTGCCCATGTGATGAACTGTATGTTTTGTCATATCGCACAATTATTTGAACAAACGATGTTACAAAACTACAACAGTTGTTATTTAAAGATAACCTCTCGAAACTACTAACTTGTTTTCAATTTAATTCGCTATTGAAACGAGCAGTTGTTTCGTAAGCGATTCATACGTGTCGATTACAATTGTGTTAGTGTACGTACTGTATACTATCAACATGTCGAACTATTTACAATACAACAACACGCTAAAATCAATTAAAAAATCCATATATACTTTCAGTATGTGGTTGTTAACAATCAAAAATTATCACTGAGTTGACAACAGCTGACTTTTACTCTCTAGGGGCTAAAAACACGTTTTACTCCCTAGAGGCTAAAAATGCTACTTTAGACCCGAAACGCATGGATTAAAAACCGCTGTTTTTGCTGCAGTCTGACGTAAAGTATTTTCTTAAGTATTCTAAATTTCTTCTTGTACAACGAAAATTTATGTTTACTTGATTATATATTTTTTAGAATATTCACCTATAAATGTAAGATTTTTCCTTTTTAAACCAAATAAATTTTAATGAGGTTAGGTTTACCACCACAGTAAAGGTAATACTAAAGTATGTTTGCATTGAAAAGTTATTATCTTAACAAGCTGTTAGCCCGTCCTACGTACGGGAATCAAGTAGTCAATTGGAACTGCTAGTTTACACGCATAAAGAAAAATTCTGGCAGACTTAATATAGGAAATGTCTTGTTAATACGACGTGACCATCTAATTCTTTCGTCTGATTATAGGCATATACGATATGCATTTAAATCCGATAATTTTACAATAAAAACTACAATTGTGTCGATTTAATAACCTTGAAGTGAGATTTGCGGTCGATTCACACACACTGGTTTAAAGTACAGCTACATACCACCTTTAATTGCATATTATCACTTACTGTAGGCCTACCTTATTTTACCTATGGACACTGAAACCTTAAGAGGATTTTGGCCTCCCATTCTCTTCTATCCCTTGCCTGTGCTAATGTTGATCCCAGTATGGAGAAGTCTTTCATAGCTTGGTCCTCCAAGGGGTCATCTAATTTGTGGTACTCATTGGTAAGATTTTAAAATTTTATGTATCTTCTTTCCTCCACGCATATCTAGGTATTTAAATATTCCTCTTAGCTCTCTGTTCATTCGTATCTAAACCTCCATTATTATAAATAGCCCGTATATTTTATCTTCACTCTATTTCTCAAACCCAGCAATAGGGTTTTTCGGTTCTTTGGTCAGTGCCCAAGTTTCTGAACTATACACTACTGGGATATTATGGTATGAAATGAATCCAATTCAGTATCTACTGACAACCTGCAGCTTGTTGGAGAGTTTTCTAGTAACCTACTACAACTGTTGACATTTGAATTACCAACCAAAGATTTGGTATGCCAACATATTGTGACATTATTAAATAAATCATCCATACCTATCCTTTGCATCGATTTCACTGCATTCATTATTGATAATTAAATTAGGCCTAGTAAACGAAGAAAAGTAAAAAAAAGTAGCAGATAGTTTGTTTTGAAAGAGATGTTCAGTTGAAATAACATTCATTTGAAAAAAATCTCTTGTCATATTTTGTAGAGGAATTTGAAAAAAGTACACACGCAAGTAAGCCAGTGACGTAATTTTTCTATGTTTACTATCCATCCTATTATCCGTTTTAATATCTGTGATAATTACCCACCCTCATTGAATCTATGTACATTTCCCACATTTCTTTATCCAAACTATAAGATAATTAGTTAAAACATAAAAACGATATTATGCGTACATCAGCGCACCCAAACGTAGCCACACATAAACACACGCCAACGTTTTGGATTTGACAAAAGGATAGTTATTATAGGCCTACTTGCAGTATCCTAGGTCAATGATAAAATCGTGTTTAACTCTGTCATCCATTTGTTTATCTCAGAATAAATCTCGAAAATAATTTGCATAGGCTTTTCTTTGAAGAGTCGTGGGCAGAGCCTCGATTTGTATACGGCAAAGGGTTTCCTTATCTCTACTGTCTACCTAATCCCTACTAATCTTACTTATTTCCTATAATCAATGACTAAATTAAATAACCTCCTAGTTCCATAGAATATTTTTATATCCATCCAGCTGTTAGTTCAAACAAATTATATTGCACTAAAACAAACCCAAGAGTTTAAAGACTGCTCTAAAAAAATTATTAGATTATAAAATATTTACGATGTATTTTAGAATAATCTGTCATCCCCTTACCGAATAAATGAACGTATTATTAAAGCATTACACATAGTATAAATAAGTCAATCCTACGTATGTCTTTCATTTCTATCCAAGTGCTGAATTTGTGTCACAAACATGTTTACAGCTGTTACGTTAAGCAAATAGTTTTATACAAAAAGCCAAACTATAATGTTAGCGTCGGCTGCTAGACTTTTTAAAAATGTAAACTTATTTTCTAAAAAACTGAAACCCTAAACTAAAATGTTGGCACCATTCCCTAGTACTCAAAATTATCTTTATTTTAACACAAAAACCATAAAAATCCGTCTAGTGGTTGATTCAGAATCGTGAAATAAAAAAAACCCTGTCACGTTTTAATATGTGCCGTTATATGACTATTATAAGTTATTGGTTAAAACTTCAATATATATTTAAAATCACTTTTTGCTGAGAGACTGGTTTTACTTATTGCTTAAAGTCTGTTTTGTTTTCATAAGCTATTTGCATTTTTTTTTATTTACTTATTTTTATTATTACTATTTGTGTTTTAGTTGTTTTATGAATAATGTAAACATGTTTAGTTTGTTGTTTGAATTTGTAAAGAACACAACCTCATTTTTGTGTGTTAAATTAAATCCTATATTTTGTCATTCCTGAATTTCATTTCGTCTGTGATATCACAAGTAAGTGAATCGCGTACAGTGACGACGGCATATATGTATATATATGATATCAAATAAACAAAACAACCTAAACAATCAAACTATAACAGATTTTTTTTTTTCCTATGAGAGTAGGCTAACATAGGATTTTCTAATTTATAGTTTTGTAGGATCATTAATTTATTGTTCTACAACAATGCTTCAGTTTACCAAATTATTTTTTTGTACGCGCAACAAAATATTTTGGAATGCAATTCCAAAGTTTATGTTTTATGGTTAAAAATCGTAAAAAAACAATTTTTCTCTATAACCTCCCCCAACAATAAAGCATATATATTCATATGTAATTGAAAGGATAGCGTTTTTGGCTTCTGGGACATCAAAACGAAAAATTAAAACCCAGGTCTTAGTCTCACCATGAGACCTACATTAATATATTATTCCCTATAGGAAAGTCACTAAAAGTCAGTCTTATGTCAAACCAATATGATCCCACCAAATACCATAACTGTGTTACTATTTTACAGAAAACCGGGATTTGTCTGAAGGAAAACTGTTTTCGAAGCATGTTAACATTGAGAATAATGATTACAGTATGGAATGTTATGAGGTATATTGGGATGAGGGAAGGTCATCATTTGAGACAATCGTAAAGGGGCCAAATGGATACCTCTTCAGTGTTAATAGATTTGCATGCGATTTAGTCGTGAAAGTGGTGTATTTACATACCAAATATAAGGACCGTTCGTACAGCCTAGTCAGACTAAACCAAAAACAGAAAATAACTGAAGAAATGAAAACCGCACAGGAGAAGACAGTCTTCATATTTGACAAGGAGTTGATGAGCAATGAGCTGGAGTGGAAGCTGGTAAGAATTTATGCAGCAAATTACGGTTAAGTTGTAATGAAACTACGTAAAGGTGTAGACATTGTGTTAAAAATAAACACGAGTGGTACGACTAGTGAAAGTAACGATAATTACTTAGGTAAATTTAACTTTCTGAATATATGTTGTACAGAAGTATATTTCGCGTAAATCTAATGTACGGATCTACTGTGTGAAGACTTTGTACCACAGTTATGAGTAATACTGTACTCATAAAACTTCGAAGGTTTTAGAGAATTTCGTTTCAGAAATTTTTATGTTTAAAGTACCTATGCAAATCTGTTAATCTAGTCTTGGTAAGTTGTAACGTGCCTGTTTGAGGGGGTAAGCTAGTCTTGCAATAGCCTGGCGTAACCATAAGCAAACCCCTAGCTGAGGTTAGAGGTTAGAAGTCTAGCATATGTTTCAACCATCGCCGGTTAAAACATAGGCATGCTAAACTGCTACGTTTGGTAAAAACCAAGTGTAGAATGTGAGTTATTTATACTGTATTTTTGTGAAATAAATCTTAACAGAGTTTTATATCGTTTTGGGTCACCAGCACATGCGATCGAAAGCTAGGGCTTAGCTATGGGTCTTAGGACTTGGATGATATTTTCTACACTTGATAAACACGAAGATCCTTAGGCTGAAAATCCGTACCAAAGACGGTATTGCGGTGTGAGTAATATAAACCGACAACTTGAACTTAAACTCGCTGTCGGAGTTCTCATAAAACTCATTGCGGTTCGTTTCTTAGTGCCGAGCAATCGTGATACTGTAGTTCATTGGTGGAGCAATACTTAATGCGTGTGAACCTCCAATACGGCTCATGCAGTGGAAGGGGCAGTGACGGGGGTCAGACGACAGCACCGACAGGGATCTGCGTGTGAAACGACAGCGGCTACCAATTAATTGGGAGTGCAAGTCATGACTGTAGTAGCTACGAAAAGAGGTCACGTAAGACCTAGATGGCAACGACGGCCAGGCTGGCCCCATACCAGCCTACTAGGATGAGAGGCGTATGAGCCTCAGCCTGTAGCTGTGATGTCAGGAGGGCGACCAAGAACCCCTAGGCTACAATGGCATGCTTGGTGTATCGAACCCAAGCGGCTGGCTGGATGATTTCAAGTAGGTGGATTGCAGCTTGCGCCCATGGAATGCCACCACGCTTAATGTTGTGGAAGGCTCAGGGCCGCTTTAATAAATGGGCCCTGTTGAAGAGGGTTTAAGTTTGTATAAACTGATTTAAATCAAGAACAAGCCTCATCTACAAGTTCACATTGGACAAGGTAGTGAAGAACCACAGTATCTTATATGCACACAAATTCATTTAAATTATTAACCTATGTCATCCATGTTGAACCCCAGAGGGATGATGCAATATTTACAATGTTTGTTGTTGCAGGTTTCCAATTTAAGGTTGTCAATGTTGAATTTCATGGACTTTACTGGAGCGAAGATTGGTAGGAAATGAAGGCCTTAAACTAACCGACTTACTGATCCCTAGGGCAAAAGATAGTGGTCAAAAACAATCCAACTGTAATGCAGACAATATAATGCAAATGATAATAATATGTTCATTAATAAATCCTGATGTTCTAGATGTTAGGCTTACTGTTGTAACAACTATACATTCGATATTCATCACAGTATTCTTTCAAACTTAAAAACAACAAACACACCACTTTACAAAATCAACCTTTTTTTATTAGAAAAGCTTAGCTTATTGGTAGAATTATGTTGTCTAGCAACTTCATTTTATGTTGTTTGTTGTTGTTCCGGATCGGTTGACAACCAATAAAAGGTTAAATTACCTGTGTCCGCCGGTCGATCCTGTAGAATCTTATTGCAGGATATGCATTTCGGCGACGTTAAATCGCCATCATCAGTCCTTAATATAAGAGCTTGATCTTCCCCATTAGGTGCGTCTTAAAGTTTTGAAAACACGTACACGAATTTTACACATGACGAAACACATAAATACATGGTAGACCTACTTTTTACTTTTACTGCGGACATAAAATGGACGCGCGTCGGTCGTGTGTCGAGTCTCGACTGGAGTCAGACTTAACTTGCAGAGTTTACCTTTGTCCTGTCTCTGTCTTTTGTAGCTACAGGTGGCGTTTCATTCAACTTTAACAATGCTTCGAATAATATGTTGGATTGTAGTGTACTTTTATCATTCAGAAGGTTGTGGGGGATGGTTTTTGAGGCTTTGCAAATTTCATATTGCTCTAATGATGTCATATATCGACTTTTTCTACAAACGTGTAAAGGTTTTAAATTCTCATTCAAGCTGGAATAACTGTGATTACTATTGACTAGGTGCTCGGAAAAATTGGATTGTTGTGTTAAACTATTTTTGGGAAGGTTTTCTTTAAATCTCTTAATAAATAAATGGTCTGCCAGTCTGTCCAATATAGAACTTATTACAGTCATTGCATGTTATCTTGTACACTCCCGACTTTTCACTCAGGTTTTTATCGCTTTGTTGGGCTCTAGGTTTGAGGAGATTTTGGACGTTATTGGATGTTCTAAATGCTACAGTTTTGCCATGTTTTTTTATTTCACTTTTTAGGGTGTGGGGGATCTTTTCTCCATATTTAACTGAGACAAATTCTGTTTTTATTTTAGGCCTTGGATCTGCAGTCTCTGTAAAAATTTTCTTTCGATGTTTGCTAATTAATGTGTCGATTATGTTAGGATTAAACCCATTTTTGACAGCTATATATTTGACGATATTTCTCTCGTTCTCGAAGTTTACGGGGCTAAGTGGTACTGATAGCAATATATAAACAAAGCTATTGTAAGCTGCCAATTTATGAGCTATAGGGTGTGGGAGGTTTCGTGGATGGTTGTATCTGTTGCTGTGGGCGTATGATTTTGGCAATAACGTCCAAAATCTCCTCTAAGCCCAACAAAGCGATAAAAACCTGAGTGAAAAATCGGGAGTGTACAAGATAACATGCAATGAATGTAATAAGTTATATATTGGACAGACTGGCAGACCATTTATTAAGAGATTTAAAGAACACCTTCCCAGTGGCGTAAAAAATTTTTACGGGCCCCCCTGCAAACTTATTTTTTGGGCCCCCCTCTCATGAGTTATTTTTAGACCACCGATACAACATAATCAAACGCCCTCCCCCTCCCCCTAGAGTTATTTTTGGACCATCGATACAATGATCAAACAGATTAATCATAAAAAGAGTGGTAAATAAATTATGAAAAAATATGAAATTAAATTATTAAATTATAGGTTATGTTCCATAAAATGGTGTGTTAAGTATTTCAGTCGTAGTTTGATAAAAGTGTTACATCACTATATCATTATATCAATATTAGTGTTTGTAAATAGTTTTGAAATCAAATTAAAAAAAACCTTATTTTCCATCCGTCTATCAGAATGTTAATACTGTATCAAGGAGGTTAAAAATTTAACATTTAATTTATCACACATGTTATCAGTTTTTATTACCCTGATAATTAGACTAATTCGTTAATTACAAGGAAAAAATGTGGTTCGAATTCCCCTATTAACCCCCTTAGGCCCCTTAGTTGCCTTTTGCTGTATTGGCTATTAATTAACATCTGTGTCTAAGGAATATGTCGGCCTTAGTCCCTTACAAAATTAAAAGTTTGGGCCACTCATCCTACACTCATCTCCATTAATTCTTGGCTTAAAATACCTACATTGATATGTTCGCCATTTCAAAGTAAATTATTAAAGTCAATCAATCAATTATTTAAGATGGGGACGCCAGTGACGCCAATATGTGCATATTTTAACCCAAATATGAGTGAAGGATGAGAAAGTACCTTTACATGTTTGTAGAAAAAGTCGATTAATTACATCATTAGAGCAATATGAAATTTACAAAGCCTCAAAAACCACCCCCCACAACCTTCTGAATGATAAAAGTACACTACAATCCAACATATTATTCGAAGCATTGTTAAAGTTGAATGAAACACCACCTGTAGCTACAAAGGACAGAGACAGGACAAAGGTCAACTCTGCAAGTAAAATCTGACTCCAGTCGAGTTTCGACACACGACCGACGCGCGTTTATTTTACGTCCGCAGTAAAAGTAAAAAGTAAGCCTACCATGTATTTATGTGTTTCGTCATGTGTAAAATTCGTGTACGTATTTTCAAAACTTTAAGACGCACCTAATGGGGAAGATCAAGCTCTTATATTAAGGACTGAGATGGCGATTTAACGTCGCCGAAATGCATATCCTGCAATAAGATTCTACAGGATCGACCGGCGGACATAGGTAATTTCACCTTTTATTGATTGTCTAGCAAGTTTGAGGATTTTTCTAATATTTAATGTTTTTTTTAAGAACTGTGATAAGATGTGTTGAGTGCATTCACCAAACAATATTGAAACAAATGGTATCAGCAATCCGACACATACTTTCTCCCTTTACCTTGTCAACAACCCTTACAATGGGTAGGCCAAAGCCTAGGTGGGAGTAACTATGATATTTTATGGGGGAAATCACCGTAGCAATTATTTTTTATGAATTTTTAAAGTATTGGAGGGTTGTGCTATTTTGTTTCGAGCTTAAAAGGTTATAATATACTAAATTTCAATCAAAATAGCTTGACCCGTTTTTGTAAAAATCCAATTTTCCGTCATTTTGTGGGTTTGTATGGAAAAATTACCTTTAAAAATAAAGGAATACCGAAATAGCTATTTACATTACAAGTGTAGTAAGAGCGTTTTTACATCACGCAGGTGAATGTTGTGCAACGAGCGAAGGCGAGTTGCATAATTCACCGAAGTGATGTAAACACGCTCTTGCGTAACGTGTAACGTACAAGATTTTACCTGACCCAACAATATTCAGGAGGTTACGAGCAATATGCTTCATTATCAATTTCACTCATCTTCTAACAGTAACGTTCATTTACAAACAAAAGCTAGGTTAGGAAAATTCTTCAAAGCATAACAATAAAATTCAAACACACAGCTGATTTCTAGCGTTGAACGTCGTTGGATCCATAGAGGTATATTTTTTATGTTATCCACTCAATGTTATTTAAATGGGTTTCATTACATCACCGAGTGAGTTTTTTTCAACTTTACATCACTCGAGAAGTAAGGAAGTTGTGTACATCACGCTTGGGATAGGGAAGTTTAACATGGCGGGTTAGGTAAAAATTAAAACAACAGCTGGAGATCCCATTAACTAGAACCCACATACCAAATTTTAAAAAATACACATACAGATACATCACTTCGAGAACCGCCGAAACGTATTTTTTTACGTAAACTCAAAAACGAATTTTAGACGAAAACAATACTTTCTTTATGCAGTATACTATGTTTGGGAAGAGAAAGTCAAAAAGAAAGTAAATAAGACTTTTCATAAAATGTTGAACATTCTTTGTATTAATATACTTTAACATCTCCACAACAGTACATGTATAATATCCAATCACGGAATTGAGATGACAATACTGAACTGAGTCATCTGTTATGCATGGATCTGCGTGCGGAGAGGTCCATAATACACTTCGATTCCAATGAAATGTATCTTAACATATTCAACTAAGGGAAGCCCTAAGTCGGCAATAGTTGGCAATGGAGACATTTGCTCCATTGAAGCCGTTACACCAACAGCAGCGTATACCATTTCAAAAACCTGGGATAGCTTTGGATTTCCTATTGATGATTTACTTGAAATAGTTAAATTTCAATTCAACTGTTTGGCACATTAAAGCCTTTACTGATGAATTTAAACTCGCATGTAGAATGCTGCATACCTTCTCCAGGTTGAATAAGATAATGGTTTCCTGTATTAACCTGTATACATCGATGGTGTAGACAGTAGCTTTGTACACATTCACACACAGACAACTTCGAAAAAGATTAGGTTCAAAGAGACCTGAAACGGACAATTGTACCCAGAACTTGAACTTTGAAATCTTAACGAAATCAATTCTTTCTCTAAACTTCATATGAGGGAAAAATTAAAAACGATAGTCAGCTTTTGCTGTACACCTTTTAACTTAATGACTCACATTTCTGTTGGCCGATATCATTTAAACATTATGTATAGAGATAGTTTGTTCACATTAACAAGCTTGTATATGAGTCCATGACATACAAATTACAGTGAATACACGGCAAGAGATCTGAATACTATCAACAGAGTCAGACGATTATTCATTCTGTATTCATAGAAGTGAAGCGCACCTGAAACCTCATTGACTACAGATAACATGGTGGAACATGTATTACATATTTGCTTTATGTAGTCGATTTATTTATTTATGGCTTCGCCTACTGAAATATAAAGCGATGAGATAGTACTAAAATAATTATTGGTTGTTGACATAACTAATAAGAATATTCCATTTTTAAATTTAATAAAAGTTTGTCAAATAAAAAACTATTGTAAAATTAACAAAATCCAGATTCTTACCAAAGGTGTTATGACATTTCAAGTGTTTGGACAATTGAACTCAATAATTGATTATGCAATTAGCTATACATGTACTTTTAAATCTCATGGAGTAATGTTAGAATACGAAACGTGGATTCTAGCCCCACAATA